AATATTAAAATTCAATTATTTTCGACAATGAGATTTATTCGTGTATCGTTGTGCACTATTATCTTGTCAGATTTGAAATCTGACAGGAAGAAGAACTGACCACCTCACAGAGAAACATTTTTTATACAAACACACGATGAACATTGTACATTGAATGCATCTCATATTTCGTCGAAGTAGTATATATTGAAGATGGCTAAAAAATTAGTCGAAACATGTTTGCGAGCGATTATTAAAATTTTGTAACTACTTGTTTTAATTAAAAGTCAGATACTTGACTAAACGTTACATTGATATTTATCGCGCACTTTCTACAGCACTAATTCCCATAGCCATTAAAATTATTACTAGATTAATTTATGTATAATATTTTTTTCTTACATCAGGTTGTAAAACTGTTAAAGTTATTTGTATGGAAAATTTTAAGACCCCTTGTATATATAAATAAATATATTTATTATTAGGTACTATTTATTAACGCTGGACTAGATTTCTTCCCATCATGTTTTTATTATAATTACAGACAAGTTTCTAATATTTGCAAATAAAAAAATATCAATGAAAAATCGTTATCCGACTTAGGCCCGGTTACATCAACGTGACTTTAACTTTAAACGAGACTTAAAATTCTCTCTATCTCATTTTAAAACCAAAAAGAGACAGAAACAAAGAGAGTTTTAAGCTTCGCTTGAAATTAAAGTAACGTTGGTGCAACCGGGCCTTAATAGAATATTACATAGTGAGGCTGCATGAACGATTGTTAAATATATTAATTGGACATACGACAAAAAACTGTATATTGAACTATCGGCCCGAAGGGTGCGTAAGTAATTTGATAAATATACAACTGCCTGCGATAATAAGCCGATTAAACGAATGATGATATTACTTGACTCTGTATATAACAGTGTTAGTCTAAGGAGAGACCTGTTCGCATGAGTTTAATCTACAATGTCCGATTTAAGTGCAAATTCTTGCAATTTCTTATTCTAAAGCTCCGCGATGGATAGACAAAAGTTCTTACTTTGCCCTAGTTAAAGGTTCTCCGATCCTATCGGATCGAATCATATCTTCTCGTCGTCGTCATGTCTTGGAGAACTTTACTTAAATAATATAAAGACATAATTAGTCTAAAAAAATATCGTTATGCAGACTTGTTTTAAAAACCATTTAAATATTATTTAAACAAGATATATTACTCTTAGAAGTTGATCAAAAACATTGATATGTATATTGTCAATGTTTACGAACAGTGGAAATATACTCGAGTACATCAAATATGTATCTTAAAACGATTAATTAACGAACTGGCGATATACCGCTGCGCGGTACAATCCATAGCAAAGTTCCACAGACTCGTTTAGTAATCGATACGATTACTGATAGTTTGATACATATATCTACGTATTTGAGATCGATATATTAACTAGGGAACCGTGGAAAAAATTAATATATGTATACATATAATGGCTACGGTCTACTTGATGTTATAAATGCTTAGAAGCGTTTTTTAATTGATCAATTAGTAAAAAATTCTTTCTTCTGATTGATCAATCAAACGCTTCAAAATATTTATTTATAATATCGAATGGACCGTATCCGTAATTAGATGCGAATGAGAATTCTTGGTTACCGTGTAAACAACCGTTTCCGATCGCGGAGGAATATTCAATTTTAAAACAGAGTTTTCTATTACGGTGCCAAATTGATGTTAGTATAAAAAAGAATCGTAAAAAGTTAACAAATATTATACCATGGGTATTATAATTGCGAATTATAGGATATTAACAACAGCAGGAGAATCGTTGTCTTTTGAAATAAGTCGATATATTAATTGTAAGCACGGATAAGGTTTTGTAAATAAGAGGAAAAAGATATTAGATACGTAATATGTAACATGATTATATGTAGCGCGCGATATTATTAAATGTGTGCGAAAGCAGCGGCTTTAAAAAGTCATTTATATAGTATATATATTCATTCTCGCGAATAAGATTCAAATTAAATGTAAACAGTTCTGATTTCTTTCAAACTTCATGTTGCAAATATTCTCGCTTAAGTTCCATTATTTTTTACATTTATGTAATAGTTATATTGTAGCATTACACACCATTACTTTTCTATATAATTAAGACGAAAATAAAAAGATTCAAGCGGAGACTGAAGAAGCGTTGCATATAAAGCGATTGTAATTAATTCCAGAAATTAAATGTAATAATTTAAAAATTGTATATTTATCATTATAGGAAATATTATTTTCTATGTAAATAATATTATGTATGTAAAATCAAGTTCTAACTTGCGCTGTCAAATAGTGTTTTCCGACAACCTTGTGAACTTTAAGAAAAATCACGCCTAATTATATTGCTCATCTATTGATTGCCTTCCTTTTTAACTTTCTTATATTTCATTGATGCCCATTTCCACCAATATAGATTAACTTTAATCTCGGTTCAATTTACTCTTCGTCTTTTTCTAATCTTTAGAACTAGAAAAAGACAAAGAGTAAGTTGAACCGAGATTAAAATTAATCTGCGTTGGTGGAAACGGACCTAAGTCACACGGGATCGTTTCAATCATGAAATTAATGTTTTTTTGCCCAAATGCACTACGTGCAAGCATTAATTTGTAAAAAGGAAAACGGTAGTGTATAAGTTGTAACGAATGAAAAAGCATAAACCAATATATAATTAACTATTTTCAAAGCTGAGATACACGCGTGTCTTTCCGCTATGAGAATTTCTTTTATTTTTTAGAAGAAAGGAATATTCAGTAACTGGAAAATTCCTAAAATTCTGAAATTTTGTAAAAATTAAGTATAATATATGTGAAATATAATTACGTAATAATTTTCTTTTTTGGCTGATAAACGGTTCTATAAGAGTGAAAATATCCTTTACATCCAAAATAATCTGACTTTCTATATTTCTGTTAATATCTCAGAAAAAATTATAAAATATTGAAAAAATATTAAATACAAAAGTTTATGGCCTACAATAATATGATAAGAGAAAATATTTTTTTTTTTGTTTCCTCTTGATCTAGACAATTTTTGATCGATAATAATCAAATAATATCCTAAATATAATATCAAAATCTTTTACAACTGTGTATATAAATATTAAAGATCAAGTACATATATGTACTTTATTTGTACAAAATTTCAGAATTTAAAAAATTTTAAGAATTGCGAAATCTTTGTCAAATTCGAAAAAAAAGAGCATTGTTTGTTACTTATTACTGTTATTTTATTTCCAATGTTCTAACGAGTTTTTTTCCTAATCGATAGTTCTGTAGGCCTAAATGTATTCATTTATCTTTTAATCCAATTTCACGCCCCGAGATCGCCTATCTGTTTTCGGACTAAAGAAGTGAAGTTATGTCGCTAATCGCAACAATCAGCGATATTAAATTTCGCTTATATGTATAATCTCCTCGTATATTAAATCGTCGATAGGTTTAACGAACTTAGACTGATTAACGGGTCTCTCCGCAGAGATGCGAATTTTTTTATAAGCGTCGCACGCATCGAAAACGTGCGACGTGAACGTCATACGTCAATTAATATAAAACTTAAGTTAATAAACGTATCCACGACAATTTGTGGGCGTTATCGGGTCTGCAATGCGCTGTTGCCCGTGTTAAACATTTACGTCATGTTAAACATTTTTAGGAGAATTCACGTAACTATTTCTAGTTACGATTTTAAAATAATTACTATTTAAATGTCGCTGTCGAATCAATCCGTTTGTAACTAGATGTTAATCTCTTAAGATATTCGCTTCCATGTTAATCTTTCCTGACTGGAATAACGACAAAAGAATTTTCAAATATCTCTGCTTTGTTCTTCATACCTTTCTTTATGAAAATAGAAAATCATTCTACGGTTAAATAATAAATGTTTTTTATTCATTTATTAATTTTACGTAATAGCTTAAAAACTTCAAAAGATCACTCGCATCAAATTTCTTCTGCAATCAATATTTGACACGTACATGTTCAAATTATTCTAAAACTTCTAAAAATAGATAATTTCGTCACAATAATTATTTGATTTTTTCTAGTAATTTATTTAGAGGTGTTAAATTAATTTATGTAATTTATTTATTTGTAAATGATGCGCTTATTTATGTAAAAAAAACTCACACTCCCTTTTCAATTTTGATAAAATCGAATTACTTTGTGTGTGTTATGTGAGTGTGTGTGAAATCATGTACATTAAATGCATTTCAGTCGAATAAGGATCAATGTTGTCAGTTACTGCCATTTATCGTTTCATCAATGATAATAATTCATAAACATTCCAAGGATATCTGGTTACAATTCGTCGTTAAAACAAGTGTCGCAACTAGCACATTCGTACCTCTTTTATTAATGATATCATTCTAAGTTATTATGTTATATATGAATTTATTTATGTTATATAGTACAGTTTATTATACGTTTAATATATTCTCTAATAAATGTCGTCAACAAATTACCTTTGTTGTATAATCAGCATTAAAAAGTAGCTGATTAATATTTTACAATCCTTTCCTTTTATAATGTTACATCAAGATTCCATACAAAAACAGGAATAACAGAAAATTATAAGGTACGCGAATTAAATAAAGTGACAAATATTTTGACTTATAATTTTAGAAAAATTATTTCAGACAAATATTTGTTCATAGCTTTTATGTTTCAACCAGAAAACTTAATACGTGATTATATCATATGCTTCTCTCTTATATCAAAAACAAAAAAACGAAGAAGATTGATTCAAATATTTCACGTATTAAACTACCTTTGTATGAAAAATATAATGTACAATAGTCGCAAAGTATGTGTTCACTGTAATAAATGCTAGAAAAATACGATTTATACAATGCGCACACACATACATACCTTTATTATTTGAAAAAATAATTAGTTCGCTAATTATACTAATTAATTTGCAAAAATATATATATATATACACATGTTATATATATATAATATACATATATACATCTCACGTTAACAAGAAAATTATGTACAATTATATCACGGTTTATTATATCGAACTCGCTGCCGATCCTGATGGCCATAATACTCGTTACAAATTAATTTACATAAAAACAAATGGAACACAATTATCAGGAAACATATGCTAACCCAGAATAATGTGGGCAAGCCTCCGAGTTGATGTCCATGCTTGTGCAAAGCCATTACCTGGTGATCATGTGCAGGTGCTGAAGAAAAATAAAGTGATTAAAAGTGAAAATATACGCACTGATTAATAATAAATTTCAATGCTCAAGACATTATTTTTTTTACTTTAATTTTGTTATTAAAAAATGAAACTTTTTCATAAGAATAAAAGTTCTTCACACAACCTTTGTAAAATTTTTTATTAAAATAAAGATTCTCTAAATTTATCTGAATGTAAAATTAAATTCTTAACCTACCATCATCTACTTCATGTACGTGCAGAGCATTACGAAGATCTTGCATATGTTGATGATCAGATGTTATGTAAAGTATCGCGGTTAGTGGCTTTGTCAACTTTACGGGAAAATTTGTATAAGTCTGGTCGAGAGGAACTGGCGCGTCCAAACAACCGGCATCACATCCGAAATAAACGCTATCACTTTTATCCAAAGCTACTCCTAATATCGCGCGATTATCTTCACCAACCGTTACGGATATATTGACATGTGTTAAATTTCCGTAACTTATACGCCTAAAAGTAATATAATTTAAATAGTAAATTAATTCATTAATAATATTTAGTATTAAAGATATGTCTACATATAAAAGAAATATTTTTGTAGAAATATTTTTTTCATAATCTGTTTTCAATTGTATTATAATTTTATATTATAATTTTTTTTACGTTTATCTTAATTGATAAATAACAAACATACCTAAACAAATAATCGCGATGAAGATATTGAGGATCGATATTAAATTCGAGATGTTGGTTACTGAATCTCAGGCTGCCGAGACTCAGCACGATTGCCTGCTGTACAGCTGCAGGACCTCCGATCACTAGATGATAGCAACCTTGTTTCTCCAATGTTATCAACCATGCCTCGACTATCTCGTTCACGGCGTCGATGGTCGAGGTATCTTTCCATAAGCGAGGAGCGTCCCTAAGCGAAAAGAATTATAATACGCGTAAATTATTTTTAAACGGCAAACACAATTCTTCATCATACTTACAAGGTATGATGACCCCGATAACAACCTTCGTTCATAGCAATGTTTTTCTCAACATCTTGAACACTCCGCGAAACTTGAGATAATACGTAATACATGGTAGAATTAATCTTGTGACCATTGATGGCACCGTCAGCCTTAGAATCACTTATCCTTAAACTTGTGTACCAATAACTCTGCCAGAGATTTACATGCTCCTCTCTCAGACGTTGCTGATACATAATCGCCTTTCTTATAAACTGTACAACAAAGAATAATAATGCATATATTTTTTCACAAAGAACAATAAATTCAAGAATTCTTCGTTTACTTACTTCAATTGCTTTCTTTTTAGTCGCCTCACGTTCTATGTGATAATGCTCGGACAAGATTGGCTCGCTGTATTGAATACTTGACAGAAACTCCAATTTAATAGAACTGCGTGCTTTCACCTGTACTGTTTTAGGTGGAACCTTGTAAATTATTGATACAACTATTATCTTGTTGGAGTTGGGTGCAGATACGAATCCAGACAAGAAGGAGTACTCATGATTAAATCCATCGACCTGAATTCTATCATTACAAAATGAATGACGATAAATTAAAAAAATGCTGATAAATTTTTATTTAATTATTTATAATAATACTTTGCTTACCTGATGGGTTCAATATGAGAATTACTCCAATGGATAGATTCCTGTGGTTTCAGTGATATTTCTTGAGAAAGTGAAAATGGATTAGAGAGTTTTACAGTCTGCACCAAAATCCCGTCGAGACTTCTATGTGCATAATATTGAAATTCCATGTGATAACCCTCTCTAAGGCACTGATACTTATAAACAATTCCGTTTGTAAAATGAACAACGGTTGCTTCTCGGTAAAAACTATCTTTTGGTATAGGATGCATGATCAGTGGTTGCCACTGTACAGGCAGTAAAAGTGCTCTTCTATGTTTAATATACAGCCAGGCTTCTGGAGAAATGGGAACTCCGAAAATACCATTGCCAATATATGGCAGATAAGAATGTTCATTTTCCTTAGGTGGATTGTGCAGAATATTTGCATTATATTCAACAGCATCAAAGTAGAAACTAGCCAATCTCTCATTCATGCAACGATCTTCAAATGCTGTGGAAAAGTATACGTATTAGCATTTCTGTAACAATTACTATAGAAAGACTTACAGGTGATTCTGTTTTATAATATAATAGAATTTAAAAAATATATTTTAAATGATTTTGCATAGAAACAAATTTGGATTCAATAAATTTAAAATATACATAAAAATTTCAATTCATTTTAATCTACTTTTGATTACCGAGTAATAGTCCTTTATATGAATATTTTAAGAGGTTTTTAAAGAAACTTGAAGCTGTTATAATTCTTTGATGTTTATCAGACCGAAACTGACAAATTACTCACCTTCTATAGGCTCCCTGGTGGAGGAGAAGAGCCATTGCGCGAAGGGCGGGCCAAAGTACAGCAGCAGACCGCCACATACCAGGACAATCAGGAGGATCTTACGGTACGAGTAATTGCCGTCCAGGACACGACGCACGCGCTTGCCGAACTCGCGGCCATCCAGCACACCGGCAGCCCTCATCATCGCGAGAGTGTTCGCGCGCCGGTGAAACGCGTATATCCGAATACTGTCGCACCCGTCGTCCAACCAACGATCAAGGACATAACCTTACCGCCAAGAGAAAGTACTCGCATGAATCATCGACGAGAGGTCCGTTTTCGTCCTATTGTTTTCGAGTCTTACGCGGCTCGGCATGCACTCAGAACGTTAGTATGCATTGTCAGAGAAATTCTATCAAGTCCTACGTCTTACATGTCACATATACATAAATTATAAACAAACGCCGGTGCAGTCAGATAATCACCCACATCAGCTGCAATCAGCTGTGAATGGACTACGTCGCGGACCTACAGATCGCGCTTACTTCGCGTTCCATACCCGGCGCTAACTGGCGCTAACTTTGCATTGCACTTTTTCGATGTGTCCCACTTTGCAGTTTGCGCGTGCTTGAGAAAGTATCAATAAGTAAAAAGACAATTCATTTCTTGCCGAAATTAATAATTATACCTAGTTGAAGATTTGTTTATGGATTTTTATAAGAGCCTTAAATAAAAATACATTTATTTACTTAATTTACTTGTGTGTTACTTTATTTAATTTATCATTGCTTAATGCATTCGTATAACTTTGGATTCGTATTTTGTTCCGCATACATAGATATATGTACTACGATTCGTTAATCTATCGAGAAGACGGTAAACTATTCACAATCTCAACGCGTTCCACAGAAAAGATGGCTAATTATTTCACGATACAATATTGTGGATAAATGTAGTGTAAATCATGCAAAATTTCAAGATTGATGTTAATTGTGTTTTCCATTTACATCAAAATTCAAAAAATTCTCATTTGCTAAATATAAATAATTCACATTCCTTTTCATTCTGACAAATGCGATTCAACTGAGTTTTTTATATCTACATAAATTCGAGACCGTATTTTTTACTAAACACAGAATATTTATGATAAATATTTATTAATATTCATTTTTTGAAATGTTATATAGATATTTTATACATATTTTATATAAAGCTTTCTTCGAAATATTATTAAAATATAGACTAAATATTTTATGCAATATTTATGATAAATATAAATAAATATTTCTAATAAGTATTTTTTATTTGGATTATAATGTCTCATTAAGTATTTTTATAGCATTTACTAAAAATATATATTCTAATAAGTATTTCATAATATTTATAATAAATATTTATGAGCTGTGCAATCTAAAACGACAAAAATATTCACAAAATATTTAAAATAAATCTTATAAATATTTCTAAATATTTTGTAAATATTTTGTAGATATCGTGTGCTGTCTGGGAATGACGTCATTATCCGAGTATAAAATATTCGCATAACTTTAGATTCAGGCGGAAATATATTTTGGAGAACTTATTGTTAGTGGAGCGCGGGGCGACGAAACGCGACGTGTCGGCCCTGGCCACTGACGGTGGCCGCGGCGCGGCCTGAAAAATCGAACACATCCAGTGTGACTCGGTACGAGTGAGTGCGAGTGCGTTCAGTAAGCATGCAATTGCACACAATTGACAATTAACAGCTGTAACCTTGTTATCGAGGACATAAGTCGTTAGTTGTTACGACGGCGCGGCATTACAACGGCGATGGCGACGACGATGATGACAACATCATTCAACGTCGGGCATTGACAACATCTAGCCATCGACGACAGCTCCGAAGGGCCGACTGCCGTCGCGATCACGTTCAAAACATTGATTGTCGACGTCGGCACCCGCCGACACTTAACGCCTCTGAACCCCCCCGATGTTTTGCGTGCTCTCACCGACTCCCGGGGGATACATAACTATACTGAATGTATAATTAGGCGAGTTAGAAAGCGAGCTTAGCGAGCATGTCTCGTTGCAACGAGAAGTGCCTTCTGCACTCCAGAGCGCACATCGTGGATTGAGGAGTACACAGCCTAGTAATTGTACGTTCATTATCTTAATATCGTGCAATATTTTTTAATCGAGGCTGGAGAGTTGTCACGTCGAATAGTGAATTAAATAACTTTGGAAGATATATGATTAGATAAAGGCGAAGAATACAGATTTTTTTATTATAATCTTGCTTGTACTGATAAGTCAAAGAACTTGATATATGTGTCAAAGGCAACAAGGAGACATCTGTGTATTAAAAAATTAAGTTTATTGTTTGAGTTTTGTTATATGAATTCTAAGGATTGTGGTAATTTATATCGCGAGAAATGTAGCTTTTGATAGTCACTTTTCAATCTCGATTAACAAAGTTTTAAATATCTATCATTAATATTTTATTGTAACAATTTATGATTGATGATAATATATCTCATAATTTATTAATGTTTCATGGTAATATTACTTTATAAATATGCTTATAAGTATGCTCTACTTACTATTATACAAGAAAATATTCTTTGGTTTGTTAATATTCTCTTATCAGTATATGTTGTTTTATCAGTTAATATTTTCTTATCAATATGTTAATTGCAATATTGTACTATTTTAAACTTGGATTATCAATTTTTTAGTTTATTCAGTTTTACTGATGTCAATATGTGGTAAATATCTGACGATGTATATGAATTGTCAATGCACGAAAAATTGGCAAAATGCAAGTGATGGTGATAACTGAAGAGTCATCCTGAAATATTATACTTATTTGAAAAAGGACCAATATAGAATACAGACAATATGTTTGGTTGTCCTAGAGAAGCTGTACGCGTTAAAGTCAAGGTATGTATAGTCAATTAGAAATTCCCAATTAACATACATTTTTATTCTAATAAAATAATAAAAGATCTTTATCTACAGAGTTTATATTACACTGAACTTAAAACTGGAACAACAAATTACAATAATAACTATACTGACAAAGAGCTTGTCACAACTGTTCAGAACCGATTTGATTCTGTTTAAGCAGTTATGACAAGCCCCTTGTAAGTATTCCAGATTTCACCTGACAATAAAACAGATTTCTAAAGTCTTGAGATGAAAATTCTAATATCAAAAAGAATATAATGATTTTTAAATAAGAAATATGTTAAACTATATATAACCAATCAAATTGTTCGAAATATATACTTTCCTATATTCTGTAACTTGTTATGCAATCGTTATGTGCTCATCGGCAGCGCGGATATTTTTTTATAGTGAAAAAGCTGCGCAACTGTCGCTATGAACACATAACAATTGCATAACGAGTTACAGAATACAGGTCTAATTCATTATGCAGTAATGAATGTCATTTATTTACTCTTTATGTAATAGCTTTGGCATGTATTATATTTCATTGTTCATACGCAACGGTTTTTATTCTGCTATGATTACTATTGAAATATTCAACATATTAATTAGTACTAGTAATTAACACAATAAAATGCAAAAAAAGAAATAATTACAAGTAATATATACAGAATTATATAAATATAAAAAATAGGATTGATTGATAGAGCATCTTTACTATGCAATGTACTATGTGTGAACTACGTGTATTATGTGTGATTGTCGAACAATTGAATTGACTAATTTTAAGTATTTCTTGTTTAAAATCATTATAGCTTCGACATTTTAGTATTGGAATAGTGGGATTCATTTCAAAATAATCTCAAGAGTTTACCGTTAATTGTTATCTCACAAAATCTGGAATATCTTATATGTCATGTATTTAAATAATTACATTATGTAAAATTGCATATTGTTATAATATTACCGTTGGTATAATAAATTAATTATGATATAGTTAAAATTATATATCATGTATGACTACATACAATTTTCTGTTTTTATGAATGCCTACTTTAAATATGGAATTTACAACAAATAAACAGAACCCTTTAATCCTCTTTTTCAGAAATGTGAAACTAGACATCAACCGGAATACCGTAAGTTTAGCGTGGATCCTCAGATAACATCAATAGAAGTACTGCAAAGTATTCTCATAAAGGCTTTCGATATAAAAGGGTAAGTTATATTAACAATAATAAAATCTGCCAATATGATTTGTGTGTGAATGTCGAATTATATTTGAATGCAATCATTTGAATATAGAAAATGATTTTTTTTTTTTCAATAAATGCAAAACGTTTACGTTTTTCCTGATTCATGTAAAAAAGTATCATAATAAATAAAAAAATTGCTACACCTTTTTACTCATTTCTAATAAATTGCATCAAATTTTGAGAATTTTGATAATAAAAGCTAAACGCTTATCGACATTTTTCGACGTGAAATAAATAGTGTGATCACGCTGCACTTAGTTTAAGGTGCATTCCGTTCTGCGCTTCTAGCGCTATAAGCATCATTTGTCCTTGTTTAATATTTGATAGATAACAAGGATGAACTGATGTCTACAGTGTATGAGCATAAAAAGGAAACGCATGTGTAATATACAAAATGTTTGATAATTCTGCCGACAACGCTCGAGGTAGGTAGAGCGAACTAAACTGAGTCGAAAAGTCCTCTACCATTTTGCAATTTTCGCAATAGTTAACAAGATATTAATTACTCAAAATTGCCGAATATTGGTCTTCAATAATTTTTTTCTCAAATACTATCAACTTTACAGAAAAACTGCAAGAGACAAAAATTGTTTATTATACCTGCCCACGAGGCACGAGCGTTGTCAACAGAATTATCAAACATCCTGTGTATACGTTATATTTATCAGATAAATTAAGAAGATCTTTAGATCGAAAAATATACAATTCTCGTTAATATGTAAATTAATTTGGAATTATATTATTATGGATAAAAAAAAAAGAATTATATGTTAAAATTAGAATATTATGTATTAAAATACATAATATTCTAATTTTAACATAATTCTTTTTTCTTTTTTTTTTATCCATAATAATATAATTAGATCGATATACATGTGCTATTTTTTATCAGTCAAATCATCACGTAACGACAATAAAACATCACAAAAGAATTACTCGAAACAAATATTTTATCGAAGCATACCATAAAATATTAAACCGAATACCGTAAAAATTGCTTGCGTGCCGTAGGGAATTCACCGTTTCGTATCGAGCGATCGATGACTATGGGTCAGAAACGTATCTCTTCCTACTCTCAGACTGGGACTTGGATGCTGCGTTTATCAGGTGACTTAATTAATTAATTTTTGTTAGGTGAATTGATTGATTAAATTTTATAAATAATAATTTAATAAATAATAAAACACATAATCTATTCTACATTATAAGCATTTTAGTGTAACATGTTATTTTTCAGTGCATCGGAGCCATATCTCTATCTGCAGGTGAATCTAAAACCCTTCGGTGAAACTGGAGACTGCGAGTGCTACTGGGAGCAAAATGCGCAGGAAGTTTTGACACGTCAGCAGGAG